TAACCTGCCTAAATTACTACCGACCCGTAGCACTGACGTCGGTAGCCATGAAGTGCTTTGAAAGGCTGGTCATGGCTCACATCAACACCATTATCCCAGAAACCCTAGACCCACTCCAATTTGCATACCGCTCCAACTGATCCACAGATGATGCAATCTCTATTGCAATCCACACTGCCCTTTCCCACCTGGACAAGAGGAACACCTACGTGAGAATGATATTCATTGACTACAGCTCAGCATTCAACACCATAGTGCCCTCAAAGCTCATCACTAAGCTAAGGATCCTGGGACTAAACACCTCCCTCTGCAACTGGATCCTGGACTTCCTGACGGGCCGCCCCCAGGTGGTAAGGGTAGGTAACAACACATCTGCCACACTGATCCTCAACAGGGGGCCCCTCAGGGGTGCGTGCTCAGTCCCCTCCTGTACTCCCTGTTCACCCATGACTGCATGGCCAGGCACGACTCCAACACCATCATTAAGTTTGCCGACGACACAACAGTGGTAGGCCTGATCACCGACAACGATGAGACAGCCTATAGGGAGGAGGTCAGAGACCTGGCCGTGTGGTGCCAGGATAACAACCTCTCCCTCAACGTGACCAAGACAAAGGAGATGATTGTGGACTACAGGAAAAAAAAGAGGACTGAGCATGCCCCCATTCTCATCGACGGGGCTGTAGTGGAACAGGTTGAGAGCTTCAAGTTCCTTGGTGTCCACATCACCAACTAACTATCATGGTCCAAACACACCAAGACAGTCGTGAAGAGGGCACGACAAAGCCTATTCCCCCTCAGGAGACTGAAAAGATTCGGCATGGGTCCTCAGATCCTCAAAGAATTATACAGCTGCACCATCGAGAGCATCCTGACTGGTTGCATCACCGCCTGGTATGGCAACTGCTTGGCCTCCGACCGCAAGGCACTACAGAGGGTAGTGCGTACGGCCCAGTACATCACTGATGACTCATTAAAGCTGCCGCCATGTTTAATGGATGTTGTGTCTTTGGGGAAAGTGAAACAACAACCAGGACTAGCACCAGCCAGACACATTGACTGATGTGATGCACATGAAAGCTTTCTGAAGGAGCCATTGATCTGGGTGTTTAACCTGACTGCTGGGGCACCCTTTTCCCTATATTGTGCGGTGCTTTTGACCAGGTCCCATGGTCGAAATAGTGCACTATATGAGGACTAGGGTGCCATTTTGGACTTTCATATACAATACATGCTGTGGGGAGAGCAGCTGTTAGGGCTGACTGACATCTGTATGTCGATCCAAAGGTTATTCATAAAACATTTTTACATTGACATTTTAGTCATTTAGCAGACGCTCCTATCCAGAGCAACTTACGGTTATTACATTCTGCTCTAGACAACCACATATCACAGTCGTAGTAAGTTCATTGTACCATAATCAAAGTCAGTGCTAGTAGGAAAATATACTCTTTAAACCATTTCAGTTCCCTTTGTTGTATGTCTCTTGTGTTAGTCTTGTTATACGTCTTAAGCCCCACTAGGACAAACAGTGGCGTTGCTGTCATATGTCCCTGCAGACTTCGTCCACCGCTCCATCATCCGTGTTATACAGTATCCTAGAGCATTTTTTGCTAAAACTTGTGAACCACAGCTGCTGTGTGTTTGGTATCTTTCATCATTGTCATGACCCTGGATTCAAGACTGATTGTATCAGAAAGGTCTTTAGTTTCAAGGCTCTGATGAGAAACCATTATAAGAGCTTTATGAGACCAGATGAGAACACTTATCCGTGCATCCGTACAGGCAGAGGCTGTGTCTAACTATGTTCTGTCTCTCTCTCTCTCTCTCTCTCTCTCTCTCTCTCGCTCTCTCTCGCTCTCTCTCTCTCTCTCGCTCTCGCTCTCGCTCTCGCTCTCGCTCTCTCTCTCTCTCTCTCTCTGTCTCTCCTCTGTCTCTTTCTCTCTTCTGTCTCTCTCTCTCTCTTTCTCTCTTCTGTCTCTCTGTCTCTTTCTCTCTTCTGTCTCTCTCTCTCTCTCTCTCTCTCTCTCTCTCTCTCTTTCTCTCTTCTCTCTCTCTCTCTCTCTCTCTCTCTTTCTCTCTTCTGTCTCTCTCGCTCTCTTCTCTCTCTCTCTCTTCAGCTCCCACCAGATCCCACGACAGTGCAGACAGTGGTGAGTGAGGTGACTCATTGTCCTACTGTGCATTGTCTGTCTGTACACAGGGTCATCACAGGGGGATAGTACAGTTACATCAGTTTATACCATGGCATTGTTGAATGCTTGTTTCTGATTGGCTTGAAGGCCATTCTAGAGCGCGCATTATTTTCCTATAATTCAATGGCTATGAAGGTCATTCTTACATGTTCTATGATCTAGCTGTAGCTCTCTATCTAGCTAGTAAACTTGCTAGCTACTTCAGTAAACTTGCTAGCTACTTCAGTGGTAAATGAATACATTTCTAGCGGCAAAATGTGTTATAGCCGTGATATAAGCGGGATAATCAACTCGGGGTTCAATGCGTTCTCTGGGAAATAATGCAACTCTTTTTGGAAAGTTAGTGCCATTCCGCTAGCGTGTCGTGGCACACACCTTCCACATTGTGCATTATTTTCCATAGCACACATAGCCCCTTGTTGATTAAACCTTAGGTATGCAGGGGGGTGTCAAGATGAGATCTTCATCTGATGTTGATCAATGGTGGAAAAAGTACCCAATTGTCATACTTGAGTAAAAGTAAAGATACCTTAATAGAAAATGACTCAAGTAAAAGTTAAAAGTCACCCAGTAAAATACTATTTGAGTAAAAGTCTAGAAGTATTTGGTTTTAAATATACACTACCGGTCAAAAGTTTTAGAACACCTACTCATTCAAAGGTTTTTCTTTATTTTTACTATTTTCTACATTGTAGAATAATAGTGAAGACATCAAAACTATGAAATAACACATATGGAATCATGTAGTAACCAGAAAAGTGTTAAACAAATCAAACAATATTTTTCATTTGAGATTCTTCAAATAGTCACCCTTTGCTTTGATGACAGCTTTGCACACTCTTGGCATTTTCTCAACCAGCTTCATGAGGTAGTCACCTGGAATGCATTTCAATTAACAGGTTTGCCTTCTTAAAAGTTAATTTGTGGAATTTCTTTCCTTCTTAATGCGTTTGAGCCAATCAGTTGTGTGGTGACAAGGTAGGGGGGGTATACAGAATATAGCCCTATTTGGTAAAAGACCATGTCCATATTATGGCAAGAACATCTCAAATAAGCAAAGAGAAATGACAGTCCATCATTACTTTAAGATATGAAGGTCAGTCAATACGGAACATTTCAAGAACTTTGAAAGTTTCTTTAAGTGCAGTCGCAAAAACTATCAAGCGCTATGATGAAACTGTCTCTCATGAGGACCGCCACAGGAATGGAAGACCCATAGTTACCTCTGCTTGTGCCAAGAAACATGAGCAATGGACATTAGACCGGTGGAAATGTGTCCTTTGGTCTGGAGTCCAAATAGGAGATTTTTGGTTCAAACCGCCGTGTCTTTGTGAGACGCGGTGTGGGTGAACGGATGATCTCCGCATGTGTATTTCCCACCGTAAAGCATGGAGGATGAGGTGTTATTGTGTGGGGGTGCGTTGCTGGTGACACTGTCTGTGATTTATTTAGAATTCAAGGGACACTTAACCAGCATGGCTACCACAGCATTCTGCAGCGATACGCCATCACATCTGGTTTGGGCTTAGTGGGACTATCATTTTCAACAGGACAATGACCCAACACACCTCCAGGCTGTGTAAGGGCAATTTTACCAAGAAGGAGAGTGATGAGTGCTGCATCAGATGACCTGGCCTCCACAATCCCCCGACCTCAACCCAATTGAGATGGTTTGGGATGAGTCGGAATGCAGAGTGAAGGAAAAGCAGCCAACAAGTGCTCAACATATGTGGGAACTCCTTCAAGACTGTTGGAAAAGCATTCCAGGTGAAGCTGGTTGAGAGAATGCCAAGAGTGTGCAAAGCTGTCGTCAAGACAAAGGGTGCCTATTTGAAGAATCTCAAATCTGAAATATGTTTTGATTTGTTGAACACTTTTTTGGTTACTACATGATTCCATATGTGTTATTCTACAATGTAGAAAATAGTAAAAAATAAAGAAAAACCCTTGAATGAGTAGGTGTTCTAAAACTTTTGACCGGTAGTGTACTTAAGTATCAAAAGTACATGTAATTGCAAAAATATACTTAAATATTGAAAGTATAGTATATCAATTGTTTCAAATTCCTTATATTAAGCAAACCAGACGGCACGGTTTCTTTTTTATCTATTTATTTACGGATAGCCAGGGGCACACTCCAACACTCAGACATGATTTACAAACGAAGCATTTGTGTTTAGTGAGTCCGCCAGATCAGAGGCAGTAGGGATGACCAGGGATGTTCTCTTGATAAGTGTGTGAATTAGACAATTGTCCTGTCCTGCTAAGCATTCAAAAAGTAACGAGTACTTTTGGGTGTCAAGGAAAATGTATGGGGTAAAAAGAACATTAATTTATTAAGGAATGTAGTGAAGTAAAAGTAAAAGTTGTCAAAAATATAAATAGTTAAGTAAAGTACAGATACCCCAAAAAACCTCTTAAGTAGTACTTTCAAGTATTTTTACTTTGGTACTTTACACCACTGATATTGATTCATTCATTCCACTCTGACCCAGTGTTTGTTCTCTGTCTATGACAATGATCATTACATTGACAAAACATGCCATTTCAAGAGCATGAGCTCAATTATGCTAATGATTGTTTACGCAAGGGTTATAAAGCATGCATGTTGCATAGTAGAGGGCATTCTTACATTTTATTCATTTGGCAGACGCTCTTGTCCGGAACAACTTACAGTAGTGAGTGCACACATTTTCATACTTTTTCATAACGATGTAATAACAATGCAAGATCCAGTACATATTCTGCTGCATAATCACTTTTTGTCCAGGCTTTGACATTTATTTGTTATTTCATTGCCTGTAAATGAAAACCACAGAGGGCTTCTCCATTGTGTTTGCTGTTAGCGCCCCCTGCTGTCTTTTATATAGCCTTGCATTTGTTATCGGTTAGAAAACGCTAATTGCTTATCCCTCACGGAGTGTTTCTGCTGAGGCTTGCTGCTGTGTTCTGCTGGCACGGGTCAGGTGTGTTTTAGCTCCCAGGCTGAACGGCAGGGATGCTTGTATTTGCTCTCTTCCAGACTCCTTCATCTCCAAGTCAGCCTCGTTGCCAGGGTATGGCAGGAACGGACTGCACAGGGTGAGTTCCCTGAGGGGGGCGGGGGGGGGGGGGCAGGGGGGGGGGTGAATGGGCCCTGTGTGGACCCAAATCAGCCCATAGCTAGAGTCAATACTTTTATTGTATCTCTAAAATAATTGTTCTTGTTGTCTGTCTCTTTCAGCCCCAGGGTGCAGATTATTTCCAGTACGACAGCAGCAGTGCAGTTAACTGGGGAATCAGAGGTAAGCAATAATAATAATATAATATGCCATTTAGCAGACGCTTTTATCCAAAGCAACTTACAGTCATGCGTGCATACATTTTTACGTATGGGTGGTCCCGGGGATCAAACCCACTACCCTGGCGTTACAAGCGCCATGCTCTACCAATTGAGCTACAGAAGACATACATCATGGCAATCATGGCTTTACCTTTCAATAACATGACTTACAAATTACATAACCAATGAGAATATGAATAAATGTGCTGATCAGCTCTTTTTTTCTATTTTTCTACAGAATACAAGGTAAGATGTTATGCAAATTAATGAACAAACTGACTATCACTGAACCAAACGTAAGCTGGCTGTAGAGAAGATAAGAAAGGAACCGTTAGAGCCTCTGCCCACAGATCTGTTGTTGAATCTCAGTTGCATCCTCGCGTCCTTTCTCATCGCCTTCTCGTCAAAAACCATTGGAGGAAAAGGTCAGAGGGGCGGGACTTCTAACTTTCTCATCCAATGTGTTTTGAGAAGGAGGCGAGGAGAGAGGAGAGGCGAGAGGATGCATAGAAGTAAAAAAATACGTGTAGTGAAATGTGTTGTTCTACAGGGTCAGCCATAGCAGTATGGCACCCCTGGAGCAAATGAGGGTTAAATGCCTTGCTCAAGGGCACAGCAGATGTTTCACCTTGACGGCTTAGAGTATTCGAACCAGCGACCTCTTGGTTCCTGGCTCAACACTCTAACCGCTAGGCTACCTGCTGTATGCAATTGAGATTCTCCCTATGTCTCTATGACGACGTCTGGGCTGGCGGGACACTTCCTACTGCCGGACCTACAGGAATTGACTTCGTCCATGGTGTCACAGAGATAAGTCTCCTCTGCTCATCTCAGGGGATGGGTTCACCCCAGGCCCACTCACCTGGAAATTAGGTCTGGACAGGAATGGAGGTTCAAAGCCCTTCCGAGAGATAGAGATATGGAGAACGTTGTCCCGACTGATCAGTCAGCTGGTGTCCATCCTATCTTGCCTTTGGTAGAGACCTCAGGTCAGAACCAGGAATGACGAGTGTCTTCAGTGTGATTGTTGTCAGCGGAAGTACAGATGAATGCATGACCCAGGAAAACGTCTGTGAGTCATTGACAATAGGATGGGCAGCATTGCATAGTCTATGTATGGTGTGAAAATCTAAACACGTTGAATGTTTTCCTCATAACCATTCCTCCCTCAGGTCTACCCATATGACGTATTGGTAGTCACCATAAGGGGGCGCCACCAGCTTCCCAATGACGTGGACAGAGCCAGACTAGAGGTGAGTTTCTCTCTGGTTTGTAAAAATGCAAGTAACGAACACCTCTCACTGCACATACCATGTAGTAAATCAATTGTATTTCCATTTCTGAGTTGGTTATGACAGTCTCCAACAACACTAACCTGTGTGTTTAATCTCTCTCTGACAGTGCCACTTGTCTCCTGAGGAGTTCTACCGGGTGTTTAGGATGACTATGGCAGATTTTGACCGGCTGGCGCTGTGGAAGAGAAACGAGCTGAAGAAACATGTCCGGCTGTTCTGAAAGGACCGTACTGTAGAAGCTCAGTGTACCAGCCTGCTGGGCTTAACGTTAGAGGCCTGAGTCCTCACTGAGAGCCGTAATAACCAGTCTGGGTAGTTCTCGATCCATCAGGTCAGAGCCACAGCAGAACCAGAACTAAAACCAGCCTGGTTCTAGCCATGGAAATATAATGAATTCTAATGATATAGTTATACTGTTCCAGCACATTCTCTGGGCCAGAGAAACCCAGCCAGCCTGAGTCTATACATCAATCATATATCTCTGGAGAAAGAGGACTAACGTGCTCCGTCCACATCCTGAGCCGTGTTTGTGGGACCTGAAGCTGCAGAGAGGACTAGACCAGGCTAGTTCTGCCTATGCTTTCGGTATTATGTGTTCGCTTTATTATAATGAGTTTAACTATAGTTTATGCTGTCATGTCATGAGGTTATAGCAGCTTTTAACCCTTTTCTAGTTTGCATGTTTGGAGAGCTCTGAGACATTGCCTTATGATCAAGCAGGAAAAAGAACACAAGCAAACTGTCCAAACAGAATGTGCTACCAGATAAACCCTGTCTTTGACCTCTTTACTCTAAATGTATTGTTTCATTCACAGCCTTTTTTTTTTTTTTACAGTGAGACTAAAACGTTGTATTGCTTTATAGAGCAAGGGTTCACCTCAGAGTGAAAGGCTAGATTGATATAGCCTTGACCTGATTCTAACTCAACACATGGAGACAGAGATAATGAATAGAGATATACATTAATTAGATGGAATCTGAACTGCTTCTGAATAAAAAAAGGGATGAATCTGCCTGTGGAGGAAAGTGGATTGAATGTATTGGTGACCAGAAGTCTGGATTAGAGATTAATTACTGGAATGGATCTGAATTAGATTACAACTGAAAGGAATTTGAATGGACTCTTCCTTGAACAATACAAGATGAGAAGGGAAGGAATCGAGGTGAGGGAATTTTGTGGATGTTGAAGTGGAATTGATTTGATGGAATTGTCCTGATTGGTCTTTGAAGAGGTGACTCCTAATATTCTCCTGTTGGGTTTTGAAGAGGTGAATCCTAATATTCTCCTGTTGGGTTTTGAAGAGGTGACTCCTAGTATTCTCCTGTTGGGTTTTGAAGAGGTGACTCCTAGTATTCTTCTGTTGGGTTTTGAAGAGGTGATTCCTAATATTCTCCTGTTAGATTTTGAAGAGGTGACTCCTAATATTCTCCTGTTAGGTTTTGAAGAGGTGACTTCTAATATTCTCCTGTTAGGTTTTGAAGAGGTGACTCCTAATATTCTCCTGTTAGATTTTGAAGAGGTGACTCCTAGTATTCTCCTGTTGGGTTTTGAAGAGGTGACTCCTAATTTTCTCTTCTTGGGTTTTGAAGAGGTGACTCCTAATATTCTCCTGTTAGATTTTGAAGAGGTGACTCCTAGTATTCTCCTGTTAGGTTTTGAAGAGGTGACTCCTAATATTCTCCTGTTAGATTTTGAAGAGGTGACTCCTAGTATTCTCCTGTTGGGTTTTGAAGAGGTGACTCCTAATTTTCTCTTCTTGGGTTTTGAAGAAGTGACTCCTAATATTATCCTGTTGGGTTTTGAAGAGGTGACTCCTAATATTCCCCTGTTGGGTTTTGAAGAGGTGACTCCTAATATTCTCCTGTTGGGTTTTGAAGAGGTGACTTCTAATATTCTCCTGTTAGGTTTTGAAGAGGTGACTTCTAATATTCTCCTGTTGGGTTTTGAAGAGGTGACTTCTAATATTCTCCTGTTAGGTTTTGAAGAGGTGACTTCTAATATTCTCCTGTTGGGTTTTGAAGAGGTGACTTCTAATATTCCCCTGTTGGGTTTTGAAGAGGTGACTTCTAATATTCTCCTGTTGGGTTTTGAAGAGGTGACACCTAGTATTCTTCTGTTGGGTTTTGAAGAGGTGAGTCCTAGTATTCTTCTGTTGGGTTTTAAAGAGGTGACTCCTAGTACTCTTCTGTTGGGTTTTGAAGAGGTGACTCCTAGTATTCTCCTGTTGGGTTTTGAAGAGGTGACTCCTAATATTCTCCTGTTGGGTTTTGAAGAGGTGAGTCCTAGTATTCTTCTGTTGGGTTTTGAAGAGGTGACTCCTAGTACTCTTCTGTTGGGTTTTGAAGAGGTGACTCCTAGTATTCTCCTGTTGGGTTTTGAAGAGGTGACTTCTAATATTCTCCTGTTGGGTTTTGAAGAGGTGACTTCTAATATTCCCCTGTTGGGTTTTGAAGAGGTGACTTCTAATATTCCCCTGTTGGGTTTTGAAGAGGTGACTCCTAATATTCCCCTGTTAGATTTTGAAGAGGTGACTCCTAATATTCTCCTGTTGGGTTTTGAAGAGGTGACTCCTAGTATTCTCCTGTTGGGTTTTGAAGAGGTGACTCCTAATATTATCCTGTTGGGTTTTGAAGAGGTGACTCCTAATATTCTCCTGTTGGGTTTTGAAGAGGTGACTTCTAATATTCTCCTGTTGGGTTTTGAAGAGGTGACTCCTAATATTCTCTTCTTGGGTTTTGAAGAGGTGACTCCTAATATTCTCCGGTTGGGTTTTGAAGAGGTGACTTCTAATATTCTCCTGTTGGGTTTTGAAGAGGTGACTTCTAATATTCTCCTGTTGGGTTTTGAAGAGGTGACTCCTAATATTATCCTGTTGGGTTTTGAAGAGGTGACTCCTAATATTCTCCTGTTGGGTTTTGAAGAGGTGACTTCTAATATTCTCCTGTTGGGTTTTGAAGAGGTGAATCCTAATATTATCCTGTTGGGTTTTGAAGAGGTGACTCCTAATATTCTCCTGTTGGGTTTTGAAGAAGTGACTCCTAGTAAACCAATAGATCATACAATATTCTTGGTAGCCTACATTTGGTATTTGGTATTTTATTAGGATCCCCATTAGCTGTTGCAAAAGCAGCAGCTACTCTTCCTGGGGTCCACACAAAACATGAAACATGACATAATACAGAACATTAATAGACAAGAACAGCTCAAGGACAGAACTACATACATTTTGCAAAACTGTCCTTTTTATTTCCATTGTATTTGAATGATCTGGTATGAGGTTGTGCGTCATAGGAAAATATAATTCTGATTGTTAGTGTATGCAGCACTGCCTTTATCAGACTGTAATATTAGTCATACTGGCTAGCAGCAGTCATCTCGTATAAATAACTCTTACTGCCATCTTTGTAATGGCTGTTTTATTGATGTGTGTGTGTGTGTGTGTGTGTGAGAGAGAGAGAGAGAGAGAGAGAGAGAGAGAGAGAGAGAGAGAGAGAGAGAGAGAGAGAGAGTAACAAGTTATCATAGACATTTACCATAATAACAACAATACTGGTCAATAATGTACATACAGTACTTCCAGAATTCATTTTGTAATCTACATTAATTATAAAAGGTTTGGGAGACTTGTAAATGTATGTTTTAATTTTGTAACTGTACAAAGCAATCTGCATATTATTTATTTCACTGTCAGAACTACTGCTCAACAAATTATGTACATATTTTATTTAAATAAATGCAGTTTACATGTGGATATTTGTCTGTGTTGATTTTTACAAAGGTGATGTCATCGTGTGTCGCACAGTAGCCAATATGATATATTAACTAGCGCTAGGACCCTGTGAGTGCGAGCAGATGAGGTAAACTCGCGTCTTTGACTGACACATTTCTGTGTGTCACTTACGCCGCACATGGGGCCACGTCGTGAAGCCTACTGCAGCGCAAACTTGGGCAAAATCAATGAACGTCAAAGAAAAAGCGGATTGGAAAACACACATGGAGACCAGTAGTGTTAACTGTAAGTAACTGTCCTATTTCTAACATATTGGCATTAAATGAATAGCGAAAACTGTTGAAGTATCGGTAAACTATTGAAGGAAAGTTTGGACATATCTCTCTCTACCTATCTCTGTGATTGACATGTCAGGGTTGATGCCTCTATTGTTGATGAATTGAGGAGTGTGATATCATGTCGCAGTAAAGTTAAATCGGTGCAGACATGCTGTGTGAATTGAACAAGGATTCGGCGTGTTTCAGGGAAGTGATGCAATCTGATGCTAACAGAGTACCTGTGGGACGCTGAGCTGGATGGAGTATGTGAAGTGGAAGCGCGTAGTGTTGCCAATGTGTCTGTGCATCGAAATGCGCTGTATTTTGAGGTGGAGGGAGAAATTTGTTATTTATTTTTATCAGAGGGCTTTGAGAGATTTTTTGGAAATTACTAAACCGTTTTTGCATACATTTTCAAATGGCCTACACATAATATTACAATTTTAGTTTTATTTCGATGTTTTTAACAAATGTAAAAAATTATTGGTAGAATTTGAATATAAAATGCATATTTTAGGAGAAAACGGTTATCTTTTTGCTGTGTTATTATAATGCATCCTGTGTCCACCTCACATCCTACTCTCCATCATTGTAATGGACCTTGACCTATCAGTGTTTCCTAGACTTCCCCTTCCTCTCTCTACCGCCTGTCCTCTGTGTTCTGTGTTTTGTGTTCTGCTAGTTGAAGGCTAGGCCAAGGATGACTATTTATGACTGGAATGAAAACGAACTACCTCACTCTGCATCCAGGAAGTTAGTCCTGCTGCATGCCCCATGCACAATCACCAGAAGAAAAAAAAAACATTAGCCACACATGCTGTTTGTTTCTATCCATTGTGTGTGTGTGTGTGTGTACATGCATACTATCTCCTAAGCTAAATTTAAATGAATTATTTCTGTCCCTCTTATTTCCTCATTGACAAAATTGGCAGACGAAGCACAAAGACATGCATTCCTCAGGGACCTACATGTTGCATATCTAATGTGCTTTGCTATGCTATGTTCTAGCTACAGGACATTCCCTGGCCTGTACGGTCATTGCACATTTTGTGTTTTAGTCATTTAGTTCAGAGAACCACATTCAGTTCCCACAGTCTCTCCTCAGTACACTAGCTCAACAGAGAACCTGGTAGCGTGAGACAGAATGGAGAGTTAGGATATGGGGGGGAGAG